TCTAACTTGCCTTTCTTCTCATTCAGCGATTTTCCTGCTGATCTTTTACAAAACGTAAGTCAAACTTACATGACAGCCATAAAAATTGCATTTACTATGTCTTTAGACCAAGAGGAAAATGAATACTTGCAAGATTTCACGCTGATATAGACACTTCATCGGCATTTATCATTATCATTGGAAAAATTGATTTAACATAATTCTTCGGCGAGAGTGGTGCAAAATAAAAGAATGCTGGAATTGGACTGATGTGAAAACGTACAAAAGTCCATTCAAAAGATTTGCCTTTAAAAACTGGTCACAAATTTGTTTTTCCCTTCTCTGTATCTCCACTCCAAGTCTTTTGAACTAGATTTTTCCTTCAACGAATTCCTGAGCAAAAACGGCAAAACCCAGGCTCAGCGTGAGGGGCGGAGCTTGGAAGGTTGCCAGATCCTTCTTGGCACGCAGCCAGCTGCTCCCCTTTCCATCTTGGAGACAGAGGTCAAGGGCTCTGGTTCCTCCTGCACCGCCGCCTTTGGATAGAGCTCGAAATCATTCTCAAAAAAATTTCTCAAACTTTATGGAGTCTTTCTCAGCCCTGTTTGCTTACTGCGTGTGCTTGTGAGGCCAATAGAATCGGTTTCGACAAAACATTGAAATTTTGAATGGCTACAAGACTAGGACATTGCCCTAGCCTATGAAAGACGATTCAAAGTTTTTGCAAATCAAGCATTATGGAGAGCTCTTACACAAAATTCTTGGGTCCTGCAAGGCTCTAATTGACCGAAAGAGACATCACACACCGAGAGTCTGTCCGTGTAGTTCTCCAAATGTTTTTCGTTTTGCAATGACTATCCATGCGAGTTTCCTTCGCGAAATTTCTCGCTTCAGTTTTCTGGCTATAAAAGTGTACCTGTGTGAGCCCAAGAAGAGCCGATGTCGGTAAAAATATGCTACCTTTACACAATCTTGGTGATTTTCTAGACACAAGTCTATGTCTGTAATTCCTGCATTTCCTGTGATTCCCTTCCGATGTGCAGCAGCATTACGGAGCGCTTTGCGAATCTCAAGAAACATTGTTTTTTCGCAATATCATTGTTCGGGACCCACAAGAATGGCAGAAATTGCAGGAACAGGAACCACAAAATTGCAGTAGTATTGCCGTCCCTTTGGGACTGGCCATAATTCCACGTAGTGATTCTCGCGATGTCTGTATTTCCTGCAGTTCTTGTGATTTTTCGACTTCCGATGTGCAGCATTATGGAGCGTTTTGTGAATCTCAAGAAATATTGTTTTTTTACAATATACGTTGTTCGGAACCCACAGGAATTGCAGCAATTGCAGGAGCAGGAATCACAGGATTCACAGGGATAGTATGGCCGGTCCTTCCAAAATCCAGGATGGAACGTCAAAGGTGGACAATGTGTGCAGTGACACTCATGATCGTCTCAAACGACTTATCTGTGGCTGCACTAGAAACCATTATCCGTAGGATTCCGGCACTGACCCTCACAGTATATAGCCAATGCGACCAAAAAAGGTGACCTGGCTGCCTCTAACTTTTCTTTGACTGTTACTCCTGTGGCCATATTCATCACCGATACCTTGAGGTAAATTCTACCTCCAGGTAGTTTTATCACTCATTATCAGCAAAATTACATTGAGAATTTACCTCAAGGGACTTTTGTGAATACGGGTACTTGCTGATGATGAGCGCTTAAACTACCGAAAGGTGAATACGGCCACTGCTTATCTTATATATAAAGCTGAATGTATGTATGTCTGTATGTCTGTATGTATGTGCGGAATAGAAATTTTTATTTCTGAACCGATTTGGATCAAACTTGGCACACATATACTTCGGGGCGGGGAGCGTGTCATACGCTACTTTTCGTTATCGGTCGATATCGATTTTATCGATTGTTTGCAAATTTTGAGCTACGTGGCTGGGAGTTGGCACAGGGGGGTAATCGAGCATGCTGTTACAAATGTTATTGACAGGGCCGGGAGCCGAGTTTGCCAACTAGTCACATCATAAAATCACGCTAACATGTATTTTATTGTGTTGCTTCCCACATAGTATACAATGCCACTGATAGTTGTTTCGCTATTCTATGTTTATCATGAACATGCTGTGCAAACGCTGAATATCTTGATGTATGACGTAAAAGGACCAATTGTTGTTGTGTTGTGAGAAAATGGTTTTGATGAAATCTTCATTAGTATGGCATGGCTTCATCCCCTTAAACGAATATATCACAACTTGGGCAGCATGGAAGAGGTCTTCTGGTGTTATCAAACAAATTCTTTCTCTTTTTCTAGCAAAATTTATTAACTTATATAACTATATTTCTTTGTTGGTTCTTTCATTGAAATACAGGAGGAACATCAGTACCACCAGTATATTTCACTATCGTATGCGAGCATTGGCATGTTGAGAGTATTAGTAGAAGTAAAGGCTACTGCATGAAGGCGAGAAGCAGTATTAGTTGAGCGGACGCGAACGCGATGCGCGCGTGTCTTCACCGTTGTAAATCGGCGCATCATGGGCTCTTCGGCTAATAAAGCCGCGTTGTGCCCAAAGATTGTGCCTTCGTCATGCAACCGCCTATATGTAATTTCAATAAAGTATCACAATCCAAAATTCCAGCAAACCTAAGTCACAGGATGTCTCGATGATGTGATAAGCAAGATAATAAGGTGTTAAGAGGCAGCTAGGTCGCCTTTTTTGGTCGCGTTGGCTATATACTGTAGCTAAGATCAGCGTCGGAATCAGACGGATAATGGTTTCTGGCTGCACTTAATATTATATGTGTAGATATGCATCTAATACTTTGAAAGAATAGCTTCTTGTTTCTTACAAGATTATAGAAGTAAAACCTAAATCGAATCGTTACCGTAACCGAAGTAAGCCGTAAAGTTGAATGTGCGCTTCCGCAGTTACATACTGCACCATATTTCACGCCTAAAACTACAACTTCATGAACATTTTGTTCCCGCAACCAACATGAGATGCTGAAATGGAGATTTCAAATTTCCAAAATCTAAGTTCAGTAAAGAAAATGATTGAAATGACGAGAAAATTGGGATTTAGATGTTTCCGAAGCTGCTCTATCCAAATTCATCATTTGTTTTGCTCAAAAAATTATGAAACTGGGTTTGCAAACAAACTTCGAATCTAAAGTTCAATGGAGTAATATTGCGAATGTGAGTTCATCAGTAATTCTCCCTCGGGCATTTTCAACCATATGACCATTTGCTTTAGGTTATGCAGTCAGTTATCACGCCAAGACTTTCGCATATGCCTTCTCAGACAGTTGGAGCGGGCAGCGCGCGCGCAGTCACACGGTGGACACCCAGTGCGCGGGTGGCGGGACATTGGATGCCGCGCCGCTGGTGCTGGCCCGCGGATGGCTGCATTTTTTCCGTTTTTCATTGCGCTGTATACCACAGGTCTTGGTAATGAATTCCACTCTTAATACGCAAAAATATGAATTCGTTTTTGAACCCAAAAATTCAGATCCAGCATCCATTTGCAATGCTACCGAAGGCTAACGATTGGAAGCAAAAAACAACTTCCACTTCTGCGATTATTCATACACTACGATGTAATATCGTAACCTCTTGAAGGATGAGGCAGCCTGACCACTGCGTCGTACACTGCGCGGGTATCCCTTGTGCTTACAGCATGTGATAATTGCAGGCGCGCGGGCCGCACGGGTAGAGTATAAAGGCACGCGCGCGCCGTGCTACAAATTATTCGCGCGGGTGGCGAAATCGAATATAAACGTAGCGCGCGGGTCGCGGTGTTGGCCATTAATACGCGCGCCGCACGCACCAAATGTCTAGGATGGCACGCGTTTGGCGTAGTGCCGGACACGCCCACAAATAAGGCATGCGCTTTGCCGCATTGACCATGAACGCGCGTGCGCCGCACGCTCCAACTACCTGAGTTATCTATTAGGGCTCAATTTGTCTCTTCTGTTGCAAGCTGCGACATTTTGCCGCATTATCTCTCAATACAGTTTTACCACGAATTTATTATTCAGATCACTATTCTTCATTGTAGAAAATTGGTCGAACTTGGACTTTTGGACTTCGTATTCTGTATCGCGGATCGCGATGCAATTGAGCAAGATAATGCATGAGAGCATACGATGACCCCTCAATACCAGCTAGACGTTCACAGATGGCAATGCTTGCTAAATAAAAAAAACTAGTCGCGGAATGCCAAGGAATGAATCCACAATGCCAGATGCGACATTCCCTTCTACAAAAAGATATCGGTCCACAGACAAAAACGATTGCAGCTGCAGAAGGAACGATGGAGCCAGCAAGCGAACGTCTATATATACTTAGTCATTGTTACTCATGCATTTTCCACCACTTATACTCATTCATTTTCGTGTGGTGGTTGGTGTGATTCTATTGGCAAGGTTGTGGCAACCTTTTATTCTGAAACTTACTTCAAAACCCAATTTTGTGATTTTTTGAGCAAAACAAATGATGTTTTGGATAGAGCAGCTTCGGAAACATCTAAATCCCAATTTTCTCGTCACTTCATTTTTTTTACTGAACTTAGGTTCTGGAAATTTGAAATCTCAGTTTAGCCTCCAATAAATTTACGGCCAAATTACCGTTTTGAATTTCATAAGCGAAAGAGTGTGTGTACAAGGTTTATCGACTCGACGTACGAAATAATACATGGTCTGCATTATACATGAGCGGAGACCAAATAACGAATAATACACGTAACCTAGAATCAAATACAATTCGAGAAAGAGTTGCGTGATCGAAACATGGAATACCGTGGTCGTTTTAGTAAGGACGAAGTGAAATGTAATGCGGAACTAATTTATGACAAGATGTAATAGCTAGACCAGCTTAGTTTACGACGATCACGCGGAAAAATAAGGCATCTTATGATGAATGGAGTCGAAAAAACATATATTGTGGATACTTCATGAACGGCAAGCGTGCCGGGAACATGAAAACATAACATGAATAGTAATAGATCTTCAGACGGGTAAAGGGCCAATGTAGGCCTGAAAAGAGTTGAATGATTTCCATCGACCTGCGAGCATAACTGATTGAGCGTCCAATCCTTTCTTGAGCGCGTTGGTGGCCGCGCCTCCGCGGAATGAGTGTGAAGTAAGCTTCTTTGATCCGAGTCCGGCCTCTCCCAAAGTCTTCTGGATTTGGCGTGCGGCAAAGTCCCTCGTAATAGCGGATCCGCTTCTGCTGCTGAAAATAAAGCTGGAAGGAGAGGACGGCGGAAAGGCATCGCAGTAGTGATCCCATAGGTCCTTGGCAACGCTGTTCCAATAAAAAGCCACCGTCTTGCCTTCTCGTTTTTGATCCGTCTTTGATTTTTGAATAAGCAACCACCAGATGGAGGATCCCTGGTATGATAGATCGGAGAAGTGCAGATTACAAACCTCGCTAAGTCGTAGGAAAGCGGAGAAGGCGAACAGTATCATCATGGCACCTCTCAGAGCGGAATTGGTTTGAGCTTTCAATGCCCATGTTATGACATGATTGACGTCTTCTTCTGATGCCTTTTTCCTATGTCTGACAGGGGGGCCCTTCCTGGTCGCCATGCTTAGCAGTGCTTTCTGTACTTCTAAATCGTCGCCAGTAAGAGGCCCAAAGAAATGATTTAAGGCGGAAATGTGATATCCAAGAGATCTGGATTTGCCCGTTTCTATCAAATGCGCGATGAATACGTTGCGAAGTTGAGGTAGTGCTGTGAGCGGTACATTGAACTTCCCGATGAAGGTGATGAAGTTCTTCTTAACCCTTTTATATATGGTGAGGGTGCCCGTAGACACTGATTGGTCAATGCAAGAATCGATTATGGACGCGACTGCTTTTAGACCGCTTTGTGAGGCCAGGGTAGCCGTACTCCCCGCTTTTCTTCGTTTGCGATCGAGGAGATCTGAAAAAGAAGAAAGGGAGGTTCTTCTTTTGAATTTTGGAGTAAAACTGTTCTAAAGAATAAAAAGGATTGTTGTCCTTCTTCCTTTCTTTTGCTCTCCATGCCTCGGGCGGGTGGGAGGGACAGCACGAGTCGAAAAACCGGAATGACCGTTTATCCCGCTAGAGCCCCAGATATCTCAAACCCCGCCCCTTATGGTCCAAAGTACATGCGTTGACCTCAAAGAAGCGATCTGCTCGCGTAACACCTCAAGCGAGGCGTACACATAACCTACGGTTATGACACCCGAAACCACGCCTCGCTCAATGTGTTATGCCTCGCATAACGATTAACTCACCCAAAACCAACTCCTGTACTTTGGACCACGGACAGCATACTAACCAAAAAGCAAGGCATATGAAATTCAAAACATCAATTTAGCCTCCAATAAATTTACGGCCAAATTACCGTTTTGAATTTCATAAGCGAAAGAAATCGGAATTTAAAAGCCCGGCAGGGGGAGGGGATGTGAAGGAGATTAAGGCAAACACAAAATCGAACTGAAGTGAAGAGTTTCCGAAAGCGCCTGAATTGGAAAAGCTTCGGAGAACTGGAGAACCCGCAGGGTAAACTGCTACACCTCTAACCTCGGGAATCCACCGCTCTCCCTGACGAAGAAGGGGAAAAAACAAATTAGATGGCCAGAGGGGAAACCCCAATATGGCTCGTGTTCCGCATTGACGAGCAACACTCAAAGCTTTGGATAACATAAAAGGAGGAGGAACTAACCATAAAAATTCAGACTGCCAATAGCTGCGAGCTTCGTTGGAGAAGGCGTCAATCGCCAGAGCGTGCTCTGTCGCCCATCTGGAAACGAATCTTGGGCACTTGGTTGTAGATGCGCTAGCAAACATGTCGAGCGTACAGGTACCCCAAACTCGTTGCAGCTCGTCAGATATAGAGTCCGAGATAGACCAATCATCAAAATCAATAAAACGAGAGGCTTCATCTGCTTCTTGGTTGAGGGAGCGCGGAATCCAAGTAAAGTCATGGGTAGTATGTAACTTCTCTAGTAAGTCCCAAATTAGCTCTGCAAGCTCCTGCAAATGGGGCTTAGTGCTCCCCTTTTTTAGGATAGTAACCGCTGCTTGGTTATCGCAGTAAAACAGAACTCTTTCAAAACTTATGTATCTAGCAAAAGATTTAGTAGCTTTTAGGATAGCTAAAAGTTCCCGGTATGTGCTGGAAGAACCCACGAGAGCGTCGGGAATAGTAGAAAACGACATAATTTTGTCCGAGGGGTTGAAATAAAGAACAGCCCCGAGGCCTGAATCAGACGCATCCGAATAAATTGAAAGTGAGGGATCTGTCTGGACTGCCGAGTTAATGGAGATACCATGAAACGTTGAAGAGAATGAAAGCCAACCTTTTAGCTCGGCCGTCTCCTTCTGATTCAAAGGCCATCTGAACGACAGTGCCGTTGCTTGCATTTGCTTTTCTGCTATAGCTGAGACTACTGCCTTCCACTTCTTCTTGACCTCTGTAGGTAATACCAGATGCATTGACGCAATCATACCCTGCCATTTAAGTCGCTCGTAGAGCGAAACCCCCCTACGACTCAACAATTTTGTGGCTAAGGCGGTTGTTTTCTCTTTTCTAGCGGGTGTTACGTCTAGAGAAAAGGATACTAGATCAATCACATGACCCAACCAGGTCATCTTCTGGAGCGGTCTCCAGGAACACTTTTCTTCCGCAGTGGAAAAACCTGCTCTACTCAGATCTTCTCTAACAATAGAGACTGAAAATTCGCACCGGTGTGCGGAATTGGCCCAAATTAGGCCATCGTCCAAGTAAACCGCAACAAAGAGCCCAGTGGCTCGCCACTTTTTCAGAAGTGGACGCATAATTTTGGTAAAAATATACGGTGCTGTGGATAGGCCGAAAGGAAGCACCAGGAATTTATAGATTTTGTTTCTCCAACGAAAGCCCAAAAATCGAGTAAAATCCTCATGAATTTTGACATGATGATAACCCGCATGCAGATCGAAAGAAGACATAAAACCCCCTTTTGGAAGTAAAGGAATGACCTTAGCCACGTCTTCGTACTTCACACTGACTTTTCTCAAAGACTTATTAAGAATAGAAAGATCTAGTATTAATCTCAGTTTCTTACCTTTAGCTACTGATAAAGGATTGATTCTCGTCCCGCTGAGATCGGAGTCTGGCACTTGTACAATAGAATGGGAAACTAGAAGCCGTTCAATTTCCTGATCTACAAAAAGCGAATTTTCCACAGCGGAAAGAGCATTATGCCTGTGAGAGCTATCGGCGGGTTCACGGATGAAATCGAGAGAAAAACCGTGAAGGATAGTATCTAGCACTATCCTGGAAGGCTTGAGAGAAAGCCAAAAATCTAATCTTGAATGAATAAGACCGGCTGTGAACTCACTTTCCCTTGGCTGGGAGGGTGCAGGTGTTTCGAAAGTGGCCAAATCCACCACAGTTGTAGCACATTGCTCTGGGGGCTCTGGGCTGCTGCGGTGCGAATGGTGTGAAGGGTCCTGTGATCCCTGGCTGTTGCATAGCTTGATAGGCAAATGGGGCCGGCTGCGAGTAAGGCTGATAATAGGGAGAAGCGGGGGCCCAGGCCGCTTCTCCCGCTCGAAAGGGCTGACGAAGCATGTAGGGCTGAAATTTGGGCCTCCAGGTCTGGTTGCGTACAGGCGGCTTCCTCTCTTCTTTCTTTTTCTTCTCACGAAGAAATGCCGCCAAAATCGGATTGGAGGCTTCCATGGATTCTGCCTTCTTATGGTGGTCGTAGAACTCCCAAACATCTGGATTGGAGTCCGCGACCGTAAGCAGTTGGTTCCTTTGCGTCAAGAGCTCGACCACTTTGGTGAGCTGCTGCTTGATGTCAAAATCTTCGGGGGCGATGTCGGCTATCGGCGAAAGAATGGATAGCAGATTGGCGTTGAAATCATATTGCCGACTTAAACCAGGCTTGGTAAAAGTCGGTTTCTGCGATGAAGTCGGCTGGAGCGCCTGCAGTTGAAGAGCGGGAGTCGATACGCTGGTGAGAATATTGTCGAGATCCTCGCGACGAATATGGACCACCTCATCCGTCGCGTTTTGCGGTTCTGGAATCGTGTAGGCTTCGGACTGATTAGTAGAGGGTTCGGGTCGAACGGGATCGGGCATGACGAGGCGTGTATACAGCACGAGTCGAAAAACCGGAATGACCGTTTATCCCGCTAGAGCCCCAGATATCTCAAACCCCGCCCCTTATGGTCCAAAGTACATGCGTTGACCTCAAAGAAGCGATCTGCTCGCGTAACACCTCAAGCGAGGCGTACACATAACCTACGGTTATGACACCCGAAACCACGCCTCGCTCAATGTGTTATGCCTCGCATAACGATTAACTCACCCAAAACCAACTCCTGTACTTTGGACCACGGACAGCATACTAACCAAAAAGCAAGGCATATGAAATTCAAAACATCAATTTCAGCATCTCATGTTGGTTGCGGGAGAAATTGTGGTTTTAGGCGTGAAATATGGTGCAGTGTGTAACTGCGGAGGCGCACATTCAACTTTACGGCTTGCTTCAGTTAAGGTAACGACTCGATTTAGGTTTTACTTCTATAATCTTGTTAGATTCTTTTGAGTTTGTGTGCTCTAGCGATAAATTCTGCTCTAGGCAAGGTCCCAATTGCGAGTCGCCCACTGTTTTTCTTCGAAAGTGCCTCACGAGTTTTTCACCCCTCAATCGACTGTAGAGTCTGACAGATTCATTGTCTTGATTGTACTTTTTAGCATTATAGTATTGTTGCAAAAATGCTCCCGAATGCTCCTTCGCATTCTCACTCAAATCCACCAATGTCACATCACCACAATCCGCATCACAACAGGCACCAACACAGGTAATAGTTTTTCATTACCTAATGACACTGCAGCAGAACTTGTTTTTGAACTTGCTTTTCTAGTTCTTCTTCGTCTAGTCAGATCAACGGGCAAGTTCAACAACATCCACCATCTCAGGTATCTCCAGAAGATATGGCAGAAATGGACAGACAGAAGGTTTGTATAAATCGAGTTTGCTTTCTACTTTACCAGACATTCATCGACTATTTAGGTCAATCCAGCACTGATAAAGTATATCGAAGAGTTCAAGTTTCCCTATATTACTGATGTCAGCAATTACGAAAAACTCATAAAGATTGGACAGGGAACTTTCGGGTAGAAATTGTGAGTTTCGATTATGGTTACTACTTCTTCTTATTCAGAGAGGTCTTCAAAGCACGATGTAAGAGATCTGGGAGAATGGTAGCTTTGAAGAAGATTTTGATGGAAAATGAAAAGGAGGGGGTAAGTCTGTTCATTAGATTGAATCCACCTCTAATAAAATAATTGTAGTTTCCAATCACTGCCTTGCGCGAAGTTAAGATGCTCCAGCAGCTCAAACATGAAAATATCACAGATCTTATCGAAGTCTGCAGCAGTAAGGGTGAGCTAAATCAATTGCTTTGCACTTGCTTTATCATGTTTTCTTCTTGATCGACTACTTTTCAGCATCTGCCCACAATCGTGACCGTTCCACCTTTTATCTCGTCTTTGCTTTTTGCGAGCACGATCTGGCAGGATTGTTGAGTAACTCAAAAATCAAGATATCCCTGGTGCACATTAAAACGATGATGAAAGTGAGCTCCCTGTTTTCTCTCTTCAGCGTTGATTTTGGACCAGTTCATTTCAACGGCGATCTAGTTGAGTATTATCTTCGTCGTTTTGGAACTCTCCATACTTTGGTTCAAGCTGTATTCAAGAATAGATATGAACGTGAGTAGTGACACATATTTAGATCTTTATTTTAGCATCTCTTCAACGGGCTCTGGAAGATACACCGGTCCAAGATCTTACACAGGGATATGAAGGCTGCAAACGTGCTTCTATCCCGAGACGGTATTCTTAAACTCGCAGATTTTGGATTGGCGAGGCCGTTTTACATGGGTGAGCACTTTCCATTTTATTTTCTAGCTTTTTTTCTGTTCACTCACTGCCCTTTACAAAAGTTAGCTGTTTTGTATCATACATTTGCTATACTGTCCAACTTAACTCAATCAATGCATAGTCGAGTACAATAGATTACCAACACGGTAAGGTTTTATGATTATTCAGATTGACACTAGCTAAATGATGAAAAAAGACAGTTTTTGAATGGTAGTTCTTTTTATTTCGATTGCGAAATATGGACACGCATTGGATACAATCCGGGGTTTTCATCGAAAGAATGGATTCTATGGTTCATGAATGTCCATTCATGAACTTCTTCCCTCAAATAACGCTTGTGTTGAAGTCTATGCTCAGTGCAAGAGCTAGTACGAATATTGTAGAACTTTTGAGATGTGAACCCTATTTATGAGTTGTCATCATGAAATTCATCTCTTAACCCCAAATTCTAGCAATCGCATTTCAGCGCCTTTCTATTTACGATCGCTGCCTAAACTCGAAGAATATTATGATGAGTAAAGCATAGTTTTGACAAATAAGGCGTGTGTCACACACTCTCTTCCAGGTCATCCTCGACAGTTGTACACCAATAGAGTCGTAACGCTATGGTATCGCCCGCCGGAGCTCTTGCTTGGTGTGTTCTTTTCTGTACCTTGTTATTTTGATCAGAATCCAATTTTTACTATTTTCTTTGATTGCAGGAGATCGACAGTACACTACTTCCATAGACATGTGGGGCGCAGGATGTATCATGGCGGAGTTATGGACGCGCTCGCCTATCATGCAGGGCGACACTGAGCAGAAACAACTCACAATGATCTGTAACCTTTGCGGCTCTATAGACAAGGACTCTTGGGAAAGGGTAAGCGTTGTCATTATTACTCAGACATCAGACAAGTTTGAACTCATAGGTATTTTTAGGTAAGCGAGCTGCCGCTCTTTGATAGGATGGAACTTCCGCAAGGCCAACCACGAATCCTTCCACAGCGTATGCGAGCTTACATCAAGGTACCATTTTGACTTTTAAGGTCTCCTTCTTACTCTATACTTTTCAGGATGAGCTCGCCATTTGCTTAATTGATGAATTGTTGGCGCTGGATCCGAGCAAGCGTTTGGAAGCTGAGAAAGCACTGGATCATACATTTTTCTACACCGCTCCTTATTCTAAAGACGATTTCAAAGATCTCATGGACACAGTGAAAGTAGGTTTTGAAATTTTTTGCCGATAGCTAAGCTGGGACACTTGATCTGCTTCATCCACTTCGTTATTGGTCAGGTTACTGAATTGACCAATAGCGAAGTGGAGGAAGCGGATCAAGTGAATCAAGTATGGCGCTGCCTAAAAATCCTGCAATGCTTTGTGTATTGGGCGTGTTAGTCGAAAGTGCTGCTCTTCTCATCTAGTATGTATGACACTGTTTTTACCTCATATGAACCACTTCAGACTTCGCAGTTTGAGTATACGGCTGGTGGAGGCGCACATGCAAATCGGGGTCGAGCAGTAGGAGCCGGTCAGCGTGTACCGCAAAGACCACAACTTTCTTCGCAAACGGGCCAGTTTCATGACATGATTTTCTAGCAGTCTTGGAATTTCTGGTTTTTACCTGCACAGCTTACATGTTTCTGTAATTTTGGTATCACGTTGTTTAGTTTGTGGTTAAAATTACGGGTTTTCGAGTTATCGTGGTTGCATTCTGAAAATGCCAAATCACTTTTTAGTACTAATCCATTTGTCTCATATTATGAGAGTAAATAAATTATTGTTCTGCTTCGTAAAAAGCTGCTTTAATCTAACATAGCGAGTCTAACATCTTGAAATTTGTTATCTCTGCTCTTGAAAACATTTCTTTTCGTATTTTATTCAAGAAAACATCATTTGCACAAAGATAACCGCATATCAATCCTGGAAAATTTAACTCAGAGATGTGAGTTTCCAACAAATCAATTTTGTAGTCAATGCACAGCTCAGCGAAAACAATGCCGTCGCGATAAGTCATGATGTGAACAAAGAAGTCAGTGATTGACAAATACATAAGAAAACATATATGATTTTAACAAAGCTGCAATATAGAAAGTAGGCGTAAATGTCAAGAAATTCCTAATCACTTCTATGAGTGCAAGTACATTTTGTGAAAGGAGTTCTAAATAGGCAGTAACAATAAACGCGGGGTAAGCGTACTGGCAAATCACATTTCGTGGAAAATTTAGCTTGGGTTACTATTTTTTACTGCTGAACAACAGCCCGCTCGAATTATTCGTGATCGTAGAACCAAAGCTAAGCGTTGGTTTTGGCGCAGTAGTTGTGGTGGTGGTGAGAGAGGAGAACAGCGGCCCCGCTGTAGAAGTCGTCAAAGAAGGAAATAGTGATGATCCTCCTGTAGATGACGATGCAAAGGAGAAAGGCTTATTTGCAGTTGTACTTGCACCAAACAGAGATCCACCCGTTGTTGATCCAAACAGACCTTGGATATATTACTTGTGCGATAAAGCCAATTTTATCAAATCAAATAGAATCCTTCACATTCAGAAGACCATGATTAACGAAATACCTGTTCCTGTGGTAGTGGGGGCTGCGCCAGCGGCAGGCTTCAGTTGTCTGCCTAATTCAGCGATTGCAGATTGGGACGGTACAAAATCAATTCCACGGAGATTATTGAATGATTTTGAGTGTGATTCGATGTCCATACGTCGATTGGCCGCGTCTCGGAGCATACACAGTGATCCATCGGCGGACAGTGATGATTTCACATCCTAAGAAGATTCACAAGTGATTTGATAAATAGTCATTTTAAGAGAAAATTTTTTGAGACAAAAGACTGGAAAGAAGAAATACCTGCACTTTTCTTGTTGCATCAAAAAGTTTGGTAGCAACATTACTAAAAGCAATATCGAATCGCGACAGTACTTCCTTCAGGTCATTAACCGTTATGCTGCTCTGAACATCCATGGAATACAAACATATGGAAAAAATTCAACGCATAGAATTCCAAATCAACCTTGCCACTGAGGATAATATTGAGTTTAGTACTAATGTCCTCTATTATATTTTGGTACTGCATAACAGCCTCATCGTACTCACGAATTACGTCGACAACGTATCTAAAATAAGCAAATTAGAAACAAAAGTGACCATCTATGAAGTAGAGAGGGAGGAACTTACTGCAAGATTTGACCCTGCGAACCAAAGTGAGCATTCTTGTTCACCAGCTCCTGCACTCGTTGGGCCACATCGCCCAACTGCAGATCCTTAGCAACTCGCCTTCTCAGCTGGGCGCCCTTCACGTCACAATCAGAAGTTCTGGTGTAGACTTCGCACATTTTGTGCTCCACCTAGAAACACTGGATCATCCAAAGAAAACAAAATACAAAGTAGAACCTCAGCGCACCTCCTTAATCTGCTCTTTTACTTTGATGCTACGGTCAGTTGACGCAGCAGCAAATTCGTCCGCCAGTCGTCGATTTTCCTTCAACTTTTCTCTAGAAACGGTCGGACAATCGTCAAACTGGGAATGCAGGACACCTTACCTCAGCTGGATAGCAACCTCACGAATAGGCTTCGGGACAACGCCTTCACGTAGATTTTCTTTTTCTGAAGCTGTACCAGCTGTGCTGATGGTTCCCAATGTAGCACTAAGACCTTAATGATTTTCATGCTTGAACAACATCGGCAAGAGAGAACAATCAAACAAACTTCATTCTAAAGACAGACTAACTTCAGTAACTGAAGTTTTGTGCCAACTTTTTTCAAGGAAACTAAAGGGTCCTCAGATATGATTGGTATATAGTGGTAAGAATTGTGAGCGCTTCACAACGAAGATGAGGATGCGGCTATGATAAGCATTCAAAAGTTCCACAATCTGATACACAAACGGGTCTGACCTAGAAGTGATCGAGTAGAACGGTTATGCCTAGCCATAAAGAGATTATGATAAAACTAGGTCTTTTGAGAGATTGAACAAACCTTAAAAAGAATGACAAGACTGACAGAAAACAGCTCCACAACTTTTTGTTTCACACTTAACATTTGTGATCTTGGCTGGATATAAAATTAAGTTCCAAACGACCAACCTGATGTTTGAGTCGTTCCTCCTAAACCCAGAGATGGCGCAGTTGTAGTTTGGGTCGCACCTTAACAATAATTGGTGGATAACAAATTTGGTAGTACAAATACAAAGAAACCACGAACCGCTCAGTGGAGTGCTCCCAAAAAGTGATGGCGCCGCCGTGGTCTTGGCGCCAAATAATGGCGTAGTTGTCGTTCCTAGTAAGCCGGCAGTGGTCGTGGTAGCTGGTTTACTTCCAAAAAGACCTCCGGACGCCGAGGTGGTTGTTGTAGTAGTGGTGATTCCAAACAGACCGCCGGTAGTCTTAGGGGCAGCAAGGGACCCCAATAAACTGGTAGAAGCCGAGGTTGTTGTTGCAGCCCCAAAAAGAGGCGCAGACGAAGTAGTTGTTGTTGCTGATCCGAACAATGGCTGAGTAGTTCCACCGAGGGGTGCAGTAGCTGTAGCGGGTGCTCCAAACAGCGGCGCTGTCGACTGGGTCGTTGCTGCAGTCGTAGTAGCGGCTCCAAGCAGCGACGCGGTCGTGGAAGAAGCCGGTGCGCCAGCAGTTCCACCCAGAGACGGCGCAGTGCTCGTTGTAGCGGCCGAACCAAACAATGGTTGCGTTGCAATAGTGGAAGAGGACGCAAGCGTATTAGTCGGAGCGGTGCTACCAAAAAGAGGAGCTGCTGTAGTTTTGGCTGTTGCAGCACCAAATATCGGGGTTGTTGCAGTTGTGGTTGTAGCTACAGCACCAAAAAGGGTAGGAGCTGTAGCGGTTGAAGTATTCGCTCCAAAAAGCGATGTTGTACCCGAAGTAGACGGAGCTGAAGTAGTGACCGATGCTGTGCCGAACACTGGAGCAGTTTGGGTTGTCGGCGCTTTTCCAAAACCTGCGAGAGAGTTGGCGGTGGTGGCAGCTGCACTCGAACCAAAAAGCGATGCACCTGCTGGAGCTGCAGCGTTGGATTGCCCAAATAACGGTGTGCTCGTTGTGGTAGTTCCGAATAACGTTCCCGTTGTCGGTTTTGCAGCAGCACTACCAGAACTTGATGCAAGGGCGGTGTTTGTAGTGCCGAACAGAGAGGTCGTTGTAATGGGTACACCAGTGTTGCCGAAAAGGCTTGAAGACGTAGTCGTTGCTGCAGCCGTACTTCCAAAAGAGGGTGCTGTTGTCGAGGCAGCTCCAAATGAATTAGTGGCGCTGCTACCGGCTCCAAACAACGAACTCGTAGTTGTGGTCGCTCCAAATGTGGGCTTAGCTACCCCAAAAAGTGAAGTGGAGGATGTAGTCGAAGGTTGGCCAAACACTCCAGTAGAGGGTGCTGTCGCCGAACCAAACACCGAAGTGGCATTGGCCGTTGTCGAAGGCGCCCCAAACAATCCTGTGTTGGATTGGGTCTTTGCTGCTGCTGAACCAAATGCGTTCGTGGCTGCCGGTGTGGCACCAGCGGATGACCCAAATAAACCACTGCCTGCCGCTGTAGTGGTCGCTGTTGAACCAAACATGGATCCAGTGGCTGGTTTTGCGCCAAAAAGTGATGAACCCGCGCTAGATGTTGTTGTTGCTGTTCCAAATAACGACGGAGCATTACCCGTGTTTCCAGAAGATCCAAACGTTGGCGCGGAATTTGTCGAAGCTCCACTAAACAATGACGTTCCTGATGAAGCTGAACCTCCAAATATTGATGAGGCTGTCGTAGTATTCACTGCAGAACCGAAAATTGACGATGCCGTGGTGGTGGTGGTGGTATTAATTGTGGAGCCGAACATTGACGATGCAGTGGTCGTAGTATCTGGAATATACAGTCTTGCATGTGACAATGAGTCCTTTAGTAAATGCTGAAGCTATTTTTGGAAGGAGATTTACGTCCGCTTGACTGCGAAAGATGTTGATTCAGCGCAGAATTGTTGATGTCCAAATTTCTCAACTATTCACTGCAGTCCATTCATAAAGATTTCTGACTGCACGTATAAAAAAGGAGCGTTGACTTGCGAAAACTGCACGTTTGTGGAGCAAAATATCACCCCATCTCGCATAAAGTACGATTTAAAATCTGGACAAAGCTTCGCATTGTCAATGACAAAGTTCTGTATCGAAAATGAAAGAGATGCGGATCCGAAAAAGTTGACTACCTCATTGAAAAAAACTTACTTGACCCAAACAATGACGATCCAGTATTCGACTTTGCTCCAAAATTGAAGCTCATCTAAATATGTGATAATTTAGCGGTACCAGAGTACTGCATGATAATACCATAAAACATCAAAATTAACGGATATGTGGCCGATCACATTTGATTTCAGCCATTTGAATTTATGAGTTTATGAATCTGATAGGAAGCAACAAAGCAAGAGCAGATTATGAAGATGCTAATTGAGGAGGCGGAAAGGCAAATGGGAATTGATAAGTGTTCAGCAAACAAGAACAAGAGCAACGGTTTCAAAAACAAAGTCTTTAGATAAATATGTAAGTCCAAAGATTCTGAGAGAATGGATATGAATCTCGGCTCTTTAATCTCGAAAAGCACTCCAGTTGCAACTAGGAGATGAATTACAAAAAAATCGCAGATAGCATCACAGGATCTCATCGGGTACATGGCAAAAAGGAAATTTTTGGGGCTTATCAATATAAGTCAACACGGTAAGTTTCCTAACGAAAAACCAGTAATCCTGAGTTGAAAACGCAGAAAGATCGATATATATAACGATCACTGCTATAAAACGGCTCCATTTCTTTTGTGATCTTCTGTGAACTCTAATTTGAACTTCTCATTGATTCCTTCAATATTTCTAGCAATCTCGACAGCCAGATATATTATCTGAAAGAAAAAAAATGCAGATAATCCACTATGAAAAAGATATCGGCACCTTGGGAACAACTATGGTATTCTCTTCGCTGTAACATTTACAGGCTTCCATGCGCATCAAAGTGCCCAATGAATAGTCCTCCACGAGCTGAATAAATCACGATGAGCTTATTCTCTGTGAAACCAACAGCCTCTCAAAAGTGTACCAGCACGAAATACAGCTTTAACAGAATAAATGAATGGAAACCTCAAGCAGCTTGCAAGGTTAGATGAAGATTTTCAAGATATACAGCAAACTACCGCCACGTTACCTCACGACATACTACGATAGAGACTCCATATATCTGGGCTGAAAAAAAACCAATTTGATACTTTTTTTTCAAACTAACTGATTGGGAGTTAGTGATTCACTATTATTCTGCAATTGATCCATTCAAGTAGCCACACGGGGCCTTTGAGTTCGACTTCCGGTAACTACTTGTGGCTACTTGAATGGATCAATCGCATAGTAATTGTGGTATCTACAAGACGGTTCAGTGGAATTTTTAAATCTTTATCGTTACAACATAAAGGCCGGCTGGGTGCCGGACCAACACAAAACGCGAATGCCGTCTTCGGGGCTGGCCCGAAGATGATGGCCACAAAGGGTATTATGCGGTAACATATGGCGAGTATTATACGACACAACACATGGCGCGGGGAAGGGGTTCCTGGGATCAGGAACACTCCGGCCCGGCCAAAAAAATGTAAACATATGAAATAATGAATTTCACCTTTCTTGTTGATATTGGCGTGGTAGTTCGATGGAGTTGTAGGCGATGTGGAGTGGGCGATGGAGTTGTAGTAGTTGTTGGAGCTGGAGCGGGCGATGGAGTTGTAGTCGATGGAGTTGGAGTAGGCGTGAAGGTGAAGAAGGTAGAAGGGAGTAGTAGATCACGTGTGGCGTCGTTTGAAGCCGCCGGGGCGCTGACGATTACCGCAGAGGAGTGCGTTATGTGGTAAACCACAATGTACACAGCTCACTCCGCAGTCGTCAGTATGTTTGTCCTTCAAGCATCTTTCGCATAATCCAATCCGTGCTGTTGCAGAACTCGTCCGACTGCATCCGGGAACCTACTGAATCTAGCGGTATTGTGCATATCTTTGTTTTGATGTAAATCACAAAATGCACATGGGGAACGTGGCTCGGATCGTCGACTAGCTCGTTGCAAGACAGTTCCATTGAACTCAGTTGGCGTAGCATGCACTCGTGGGTGGACTCCATACGCAGGTGAATTTCGCGGATTGCAGACGTTGTGTTGGCTACAAGATGGTTCAGTGGAATTTTTAAGTCTTTATCGTTAATCCGCAACATAAAGGCCGGCTGAACGCCCGTAAAAGGGCTCGGACCTGGGAGGAGTTGCAGGTGCGCTCCAACGCCATACCGATTAAAGCACCGTTTTTTCAACTGGAGCGCACTATCTCCAAACACTTCGCGTTTGATAAACTTTCCAAAGAGATGGAAGACTGGGGGAGAGGGACCACATGCAAAATAATAGCACATTCTGCTTGCATGTACTTTTCCTCTTCTCAAGCTGTCAGGACACATGATCATACCCTTCGGCGTTCATGCTTAACTCAACAATACTTTTGCTTTGTGTTCATCTATATGTGACCTTTGTTTTGGTTCTTATTTTACTCTACTCAGTAGAGTTGTGGAACAACACAGCTTTCGGTCCATCAACGAAAAAAAAGCCACGCTATAGGCTGGGTACATACTAATCCGTAAGTTCCGGAACATCTCAGCACAGCGCTCGAATTGTGCGTTGTGCTGGAGCTGTTTCGGAACTTGCGGATCAGTATGAACCCAGCCATAGTTAGTATCTACCCTGTATAACCTTTACCTGCATTTACGCTTGAAACTCATTGTCAGTAACTCTGTCTTGAACTTCCGTTTTTGGGTTAATCTCCGCTGCTCTAACTTCTCTTTGAGTTCACACCATTGAGGATCCACTTCGTGCAGCTTTTAGAAGTATCTTAGGGCTGCTTGCGCTAAATTGGGATGGGTTTAGCACTGGTGTGACCCGTAAAAAGAGTTCGTGTGCGAACTCTTTTTACGAGTCCGAAAACACCCTTTACGATGTTGCTTTGTCTTTTTTTTTCTTGAAACGACCTATGACTGTCTTGTAATTACATAACTTATCTCGAAAATATGAAATTCTTTCCTGAGATCTGCTGGCAATCTTATTAGATCGACGTATTCAAAGCAATGAGAGCCAAAAAAGGAATCGAATTGTCAATTTTGCACGTGATAGCAATCGTTGCCTTTGTTATGAGCTTCAAAAGCGCTGCATAGCCGTAAATCATCGTTGCTAATGTTGTTCGATAAGCTTGTCGATGGTGCTAAGATTAAAAATTGAGGAAAAATGGGTGGAAAACGGCAATTTTATGCTGGTGACCTTTATAGACTGTAACTGTTTCGCTAAATGGAAAAACCGGGATTTCTGCAGTTGGTGAATAGTTTTGAATGTACAAAATTGATTTGCCCAGATGTCAACCTCAGGAATTCTCTAGAAACAAAGAAATTTCAAAACTTGTGCTACACTGAGTTAACTATGAAACTTTACTTACTGGAATTGAAATTACTGAGAATTTTTTTTGAGCAAAGAGCTGGCCAATGTGCTGAACATAGAACTTGGCTTGCCGCCATATTCTCACTGAGCATCACTACGAGACAAAGTTCGTAGTTTTTCGTAGGACGGGTTCATAGGCACAAGCCGTAGGCTGCTAATCCGGAAGTTTGGGAACGTTGAAAGGAGCGGATCTTACTTATCATTAGATCCATTGAGAGCATAGATATTGTATATATTCGTGGAAATACATGTGACAAGAGTCCAAACACATGTGGGGTCGGTCGAATATGCACAAAAAAATCCAGCATGCTCGGAATTAATGTATTTTTGAGCCAAACATTCTCAAGGATTTCGAATTTCTGGCAGGCTTGTGGATTTGTGCCTCAAAGTTGAGCAGAAAAATGGTTTGATGTTTCACAGAATTTTTTCTACGCATGAAATACACGCAAACTGGTTTTATCGTAACAAAGAATTGGCAGTTTTGATCCTTTGACATGATTTGTCCACATTTTACCGTCAAATTTCCACAAAGATATTAAAGACTATACGTATACTCAAAGTTCATCCAGATCGGCGTGAAACGTGAAAGTGTTTGGAGATAGTGCGCTCCAATTGGAAAAACGGTGCTCTAATCGAAATGCCGATGGAGCGCACCTGCAACTCCTCCCAGGTCCGAGCCCTTTTACGGGCGTTCAGGCCGGCTGGGTGCCGGACCAACACAAACCCCAAATGCCGTCTTCGGGGCTGGCCCGAAGATGATGGCCACAAAGGGTATTATGCGATAACATATGGCGAGTATTATACGATATAACACATGGCGCGGGGAAGGGGTTCCTGGGATCAGGAACAGTAATAGTGAATCACTAACTCCCAATCAGTTAGTTCTTCATAGAAGTTTCAAATTGATTTATTTTCCAGCCCAGATAAATGAATTCTTTATCGCAGTATGTCGTGATTTCATGACGAAAGGGCGCCTTGCCTGACAACAGTCAAAAAGAAGTACTGATGTTTCATTAGCATTTTGCAGGAGCAGATGCGATATGTACCAACCTCCTTAAAATATTCGCAAAAGTCGTGCCACTTCTCCTTCATGCCACCTTGTTTGAGTTCGACTTCTGTAACCTAAAACTGCACCATAAGGGAACGGCTATAGGCTGCTGGCACTGGGGTAGAGGACTAAATGTCGCCGAAAGAGGGCGGTCCCCGCGGTCGACAAATACGCATCCTTGTCATGCGCATACATGCGTTCCTGCAGGGGATCCGCGCGGACTCTTCCAAATTCGGCGACATATAGTCCTCCTCCCCTGGCACTGTTGTCGAGGTTGCCGGGGTTTCCGGTCGTTGTAGGACCACATGATCGCCTGCAAGTTTCGCGCGCTCTCTAAGGCACGCGCCATAATTGATCGGATTAATCCATTCAATCCGCTTCGTCATTGGTCAATTCAGTGAACTGATCAGTAAAGTGGATGAAGTGGATCGAGTGGATCAAGTGAGCAACCGCTTCGCTATCGGCAGTTCACTGATTAGACCATTGACGGAGCGGATCAAGTGGATTAAGCGTATCAAGTATGGCGGGTGCCTAAGCTGTCTCTGACCCCGCAACGCCGGCAACCATTGCCGGCCTATGGCCGTTCTCTAACGAATCAGCAAATCAAACAAGTCTCTTAGAGCTGGTGGGTATACGGTAAGGAGTCAAAATCACGATATCCGCTGAAACTTCGCGTAGAGGGGTTATTTGACATGCTGATCAAGATTATGATGTTTATAGTTACGATAGTGCCTCATTCCGACGTTACGTTGGGTATACATTACCAATACCACCGCTAGATCGAGATTCAGGGCTTGAAATCTCAGTCACACGTCGGAAATTTCCTCCCCCTGCTTTGCTTAGGCAAAGGCCGCCGCAGGGTGTATCGCGCGCGGTGGTGGGTGTGGAAAGCAGTGAATTAGACCCTCCTACAGTATACCCACCGTAACCCCGAAACGAGGTGCTACCGTAACGAATGATCATATTCGTGTTCAGCATGTCAAATAACTCCCTCTTACCGAGTTTCAGAGAATTTTGTGATTTTGACCTCCTACCGTATACCCACCGTAACCCCCGGAAAGTGGCGCTATCGCACGGAATCGATATGACATCCGGCATCAGCGGATCCAATAACCCCCTATACCGAGTTTGAGCGAAATCCGGGATTTTTAATTTTTGGGGTCGATATACTGGAATGGTACCGATCCGTCTATAGCGTTGACCGAACAAAACGTAAAACTTCTCCCAGTCTCACGTAGACAGTACAACGAAATCAAGTTAAGAATGAACTGACAATTAGATGCTGAAGGCATGAAAACTGGACAACAAAAAACAAACAAACAAAATCCAACTCATACCTTGTGCACATCCAAATCTGGGAAAGCATTTCTGAAAGACGTGTGGATGACATCTTGAAGTTTGTTCAATCTAAGTGCCCTCGTGTCGCAGCACATAAGAAGATTCATGTGGACGTTAGCTCGCTCAGCGGCCTCCATGAAAAGATGATCATTGACTGAACATGGTGAGCGTGATCACATTCTCATGAGCCGTTTTAACTTGATCGTCGCCATATAAATCGTTTCAAAATCCTCACTGTGTAAAGTCCACACAAGTAACGTATGCTCACCTTCGTGGCCCACGCCATTTCGATGGCAGCATCATTCTCATATCTGCTTGCATCTCCATAGTCGATATCATCCATTATCTGTGAGATGATAAACAATGTCAAATGAAACTTGCAAGGGAAGGATACTTGGTCGAAGTGCCGTTTCCATGGAAAATATGTCCTGTCTTATAGAGCATGGAACCTGATTCCGAATCTGCTTTCGGTATCAGCAAAGCGCCTTTGGGATGAGAATTACGAGAGTATTTTGAGGCAAGAATTCAAGGTTTTTTGAGGTAAAAACAAGTGTTGAGTTCTTTTCGAGGCTTGCATGGAGTGACGACTACCTCAAATTTGAGAGAATGAAGGTATTCTGCAAGGAGCGCCCTGGTGATAAATCATGATCCCCTCTAAGCTCATAGACTACACTTGAAAGATTTTATTGTAGCTGCGCCTCGAAATCTTTGCGCCAAAAATCCATATCTCCCAAAAGCGCTTTGCAGATATCGAAAGCAGATTCGAAATCGCGTCCCATGCTCTATAAGACGGTATACTTCCTATGGAAACGCCCCTTCGACAAGTATTCCCTTGTTAGAGCCAACAATGGAACAGGTCTGCTTCACAATATACAGTCGGCTTATGCATCAATGCATTGATGGATACAGAAAAAAGTTTATGCGTATATACAACTCTATCAAAATGAAATTGGTGTCAATTCGCACGGTAAATACAAATTCGAATTGAAGAATTAGGCGTGGCCTTTGACTAGACCGCAAATGAAGAATCGTACTTACTACCGTACGGTGTGCAGCGTCGAAATCAGCGCAAGACAATCAAGCGCTTAGATGAAAAATCTTGAGTGCCGTTCTCAATCGTACGAAAATCCGTTACGATAGAAAGAAATTCTTCTTGAAACTTAGGTAACCGTTAGTGCTATTTGAAAGAGCACAGCAAAAAACGATATGTATATATACACATCATAAGAGTGGGAACCGGTATCAATCCTAGAATGGATTTTGCGCCGAATGCGTTTCGTTCATTATATCTGCACATTTCGAGCAGAGGCATGTTTTTCATTCGCGAAATCCTTCGCATCGAATTTTTCCTTGAGTTACAGCAATCGAAGTGCGGTAATCGACCACGGATCTTCCTCATAAAGGGATTACAGCCGGTTAGTTGCGAGCCTACTTGGGGCATCCACAAGTGGCGGATAGGGGTGATCGCCAACCAAAAGCGATCCCGCGCTTGCTCTGATCGTTCAGACCGCGCCGGTACCCGTCCGAATCCGCCCGAACCGGCCCAAATATGTCCAAACCGCCCGAATACGTGCGAATCCGTCCGAACCCGCCTGAACGCCGGAACTGCCAAAGCGCCAGATATGCGTCGAGCTGAGAGGCACGCGGAGGCGACAATCGGCGCAAAAATGGAGGCAGTCTTTTTCCAGTATATAAATCAGAAATTCAAACTAAGCCGTCATCTATCTTGCATAACTGACCAAGCAGGAAATACTCATATCACTGATAGCGAAAAAGCACAAGCGTTAGGACATTATTTTGTTGGTGTTTTTTCCCTCGACGATCGAAGTACGAAATCAGGCTTCTCTTTATCTTCCTCTCCTTCTTATCGTCACTGCCTATCGACCGTCTATTTCAGTCCCTTTGAAATTCGGAAGATTCTGATTAAACTAAAAACTTCTTTCACTGAACGTATGACGTTATCCCACAAATCGTTTCCAAAAAAAAATGCGCTTCAACACTCTGTAAACCCCTTGCACATATTTTTAATATATCAATGATGTTGGGAGAACTGCCGCAAGTCTGGAAAGAGGTTAGTAACAGCTACACCTGAGGTTTCCAATGCCCACCTCCTCTCAGAATTTCGGCCTATCAGTCTGACACCTACACCGGTAAAGGTAATGGAGAAAGTTCTACGTGACAAAATGCTTGCATGGTTCGAGAAATTTAATATGATACCCCCTAATCAGCACGGGTTTATGGTCGGATCATCAACTACCACCAACCTTGCTGATTCTATTTTTGACTGGAATTTTGCCCTGAATAAAGGAAAATCTGTCGATGTCATTTACATAGATTTTAAAGCATTTGACAAAGTAAATCATCGATTGCTTTTGCTTAAACTCGAGCAATTTGGTGTGAATGGAAATCTTTTGAAATGGCTAAGATCACATCTACACACTAGAGGTATGACCGTTCGAATGGAAAACCATTTCTCTGATCGATATACCTGTACAAGTGGGGTCCCTCAAGGTGCATTTCTTTCTCCATTACTTTTCCTGGTGTATACTACTGATCTTCCCAACATTTTGAAAACATCCGAAAATCTAGCAGTGCAAATGTACGCAGACGACATAAAATTTACGGCTGTTATATACGTCGACGACTGCCCCGATTCGTGCATTTACACCAATATGAGCGTGCCTTTTTGGAGCCTTTCCAGCTTGATAGTACGCTGCAGCGCGCCGAGACTTGGTAGCTCGCAGCAACACTGTCCTTTAGCTTCTTTTGTTGATTTGAGCATTTCACATTGTTTTCTTCTTAGTTTTTTATTCAAGTCAGTCACTCGTTTTCCCTCTCTCTTAAGTTCTCTCGATGGTCAAATATATTAAGTTCTACTTCGATGAATATTGAAAGGCGAGGAAGAATTAGTTCACGCATATTTCTTGATTCTTCTCCCTTTTTCTAGCAAACATTCATTTTCAAAGTCGTGAACCATCGCCACGGGCAAAGTTAGGTAAAGAGCTTTGCTCATAAGTGTTCGGTGGTGGCTATCATGCATATTCTTTAGGTGACACCACTCAAATGTTCATTTCAGCGCTCCTACATGGTGTCCCTGATGTGGGAGTGCTGAAAGTAACAATTTCAGTGGTCTGTTTCAAGAAACATATCAAATTATTATGAAACATTGGAAAAAAACATGCAATCCTAATCATAGCCATGATGTCCACCACTGCAGCTACTAAGAAAGCTCATTCTTTCTTCTAACTTTGCCCGCGACGATGGTCTCACATAGACATCAAAACGAGTAACTGCCTGAAATGAAAAACGATATGAAGTGCTTAGCAAATGAAAGGGTTAAAGGACAAGGACGCTGCAAGCTACCAGGTCCCCTGCGCTGCAGTACTGTCGAGCTGGAAAGGCTCCAAAAAGGCACGCCCACACGGTGGTGTAATTGCACGAGTCGGGAGTCGTCGACGAATATCCTTCAACAAAGACACCCAAGAAGCAATCCGTTCTGCAATAAATTTAGCTTTGGAGAAAATGATTCACTAGTGCGCCTTTTCATATATCCCTATAAACTTAGAAAAAAGACATGTCATGCAGAAAATGATTCACTAGTGCGCCTTTTCATATATCCCTATAAACTTAGAAAAAAGACATGTCATGCATTTTGGTAGCTCAGAAATCCCAAATTATGACATCAATGGAATTAATTGAGAAATTGCTCAGCCAAAGACTTAGGTGTACTGATTGATTCCGATCTAAACTTTTCTAGTCATATCGAATGCGTGGTAAATAAAGCTTCATCGGCTTTATTTGCAATTTTTTGTAACGTACATACAGATAACCCAATTATTCTCAAATGACTTTATCGAGCTCACGTATTGCCACATATGGAATATTGTTCCGTGGTCTGGAGTCCTTTTTTGAGAAAAAACGTTTTGAAACTAGAAAAAGTTCAACAAACATTTACACGCATATTATATCTATGATGTCGGCGAAGCTTTAATTTCCGCGACATGCCTATGAAAATCATGAAAATCGCCTCAAGTCTTTGGCAATGAAGAGTTTAGAGTACAGAAGTGTATATCTTGATATTGTCTTTGCATTTCGTCTACTGCGAAAAGAAATAAGGCTCAGTGCAAGTAAGTATTGGATTTTCAGACCAACATATAGAAACGGTGGGTTTAATATCCATTACTTACATATTCATAAAAAACGTTTTCGTTGGGTTTTCAATAGTTTATTTTACAGAACTTCCAGATGGCTTAGGCTGTTACCAGATACTGCATTACAATCTCAGAGCACGAATGTTTTCAAACGCAGGATCAACACACTTGATCTCTTACGTTTGAGGCATTCTGAGAATGAGTAATGAGTAATTTTTCTTGATGGAAGTTTTTGTTCGTATCACTTTATGCTCAGTTCATATCAACGTATTCTGCTTGAACCACACGTTTTTATGGTTCACTTACTTACATATATACATCTCCAGCAGTGGCGTGCCGAGGGGGGGGGGGCGGGGGGGGGGCGTCCCCTCCACCCGAGAACGGGTCGCGAAATTTTGAAAGTTACTTACATGAGTTATAAAAATGTGCAAATGACTTGTTTATTTTTGTAAACTATTAAAATAATTTTCAAAATTTTTAAAAATTCAAATTAGCCATATAAAAAATTTTTTTCGGGGGCGTGGGGGTTCGGGGCCCGCAAAAATTTTGAGAAGCTCTCCTAAAAAATCTTCGGAGTGCGTGGCTAACGCCACGCACCTTCATTTGAAAATTTTTTTTGCCGCCCCCCCCCCCGAGCCGAAATTTTGGATACGCCACTGATCTCCAGTGGTTTCTCTTACATGACATGGTATCCTTTTCATATCTTCATTGAGGTTTCAATTAATTTGGAACTTCCTAATATCAGGTTGGTGCAAAAGTTTTTTCCCACCAAATTGGAAAATTCAGAACTTGTTGAATTCTTAATGAATCTGCAAGATCTAAATCTTGCTTAAGAGAGGAACTCATGCTCTTTGCATCTGTGCCTGAATTGTTTGTTAATGTTTACAAATGAAGGAGATAGAACCTCAAAACCAAAATCATTCAAGTTTTGAATTTTTCGTGTAGGGTCATAAAAAATCGGAAACTTGCAACAAAAATCGTTTCATCAGCTCTTTCTAACGGTGCAAAGTTTGCGCTGATTGAGCGTCTCTATGAAAAGTTCTGATTTCCCTGAAAAATGCCAAAATAAATCAAATTCGTCCTTTTGTATTGCTTGCTCGAAAATCATAACTTTTCATAGAGACGCTCAATCAGCGCAAACTTTGCACCATTAGAAAGAGCTGGTGAAAGAACCTACAATACTGACTGCTCCGATTTTTGTTGCAAGTTTCCGATTTTTTATGACCCTACACGAAAAATTCAAATTTTGAGTGATTTTGGTTTTGAGCTTCTATCTCCTTCATTTGTAAACATTAACAAACAATTCAGGCACAGATGCAAAGAGCATGAGTTCCTCTCTTAAGCAAAATTTGAATCTTGCAGATTCGTTGAGATTTCAACAAGTTCTGAATTTTTGAATTTGGTGGGAAAGAACTTTTGCACCAACCTAATACAGAGTGTCCCAAAAAAATGTGAACACTGTTTGGTCGTTAATAACTCCGTTGCTTTTATGTCTTTCGCTTAGCTTTAGGCACCATTTCGTAGACCGAGGTTCAACTTAGATTTACAGCATGAAGCAAAACTCCGATCTCCCTTGCTACTGTTGGATTACGGTAGGAACTTCCAGCGTGTGAATCCATTGTGAAATATGCCATTTGATAAAATTTTTTCCAAAAAATCTGAAAAATCGTGTACCAGGGTTTTCGCACACGATGAATCCATTACACATCTTTTCACGAGAGTTTTTAGCTTTTTTGATGGGGTAGTCATATTTTTGACAAATGCTGGGAATTCCATTATTACGGTTTACCTGGGATAACTTCGGAAAGAAGCGTCACAGTACAGTGGAAATTTCATATTCGAAATCAGCGGCTTCCATTACCATAGTTTAAGAGCTTTTGGCTTGTTTGTTTTTGTTCCGAGGCAGAATATGGCCTCTAATGGCCTAAAATCCTTGTCAAAGTTCCTACCGTAATCCTACAGTAATGAAAAGCGATCGATGATTCGTTCCATACTACAAATCTAAGATGAACCTCACTCTAGAGAATGGTGTCTCAAGCTCGGCGAAAGACATGAAAGCAAGGGAGTTATTAACGATCAAACAGTGTTCACATTTTTTTGGGACACCCTGCATATTAGGTGGGTCCGAAAGTTCTGTCGTTTCATTTTCAAAAATTTGTAACTTTGCGCTGCTTCAACGGATTTGCTTGCTTGTAATTTTATTAGAAGGAATAAGTCTTTCGCTTTCAAATGCTTTCCCGTGGAGCTTCTAATTTATACTGGGTGCGGAGATAAAAATGGAAAACTAAGACCATATAAGCTTTGACCATTTTAAGTTAGGTCACCAAAATTCTGGAATGCTGCAGAAAAATCTGAGATCGTCAGCACTTATGTTCTTTAGCCTACTCTTGGCAACTGTGAGGAGTTTATGCCGTTTGGACGTCTCTGCAAGAAGTTATGATTTTCGCGAAAATTGACAAATTAATTGATTTTGGCGTTTTCTATAGTAAACTCAATTTTCATAACTTCTTACAGAGACGTCCAAACGGCATAAACTCTTCACAGTTGCCAAGAGTAGGCTAAAGAACATAAGTGCTGACGATTTCAAGTTTTTCTGCAGCATTCCAGATTTTTGGTGACCTAACTTATAATGGTCAACGCTTATATGGTCTTAGTTTTCCATTTTTATCTCCGCACCCAGTATGAAGTAGAAGCTCCACGGAAAAGCATTTGAAAGCGAAAGACTTATTTTTTCTATTAAAATTACAGGCAAGCAAATCCGTTGGAGCTGCGCAAAGTTACAAATTTTTGAAAATGAAACGACAGAACTTTCGGACCCACCTAATATTATCCTTTTTATTTTGACGCTGTTATATCTATTAGGTTGATTCATAATTAATGCACGCTTTTCCTACCTCTTTTTCCAAGAACTAGTATTTGATGTGTAACTAATTTCCTCAAAAACTTTTTATGCTATCTAAAAGAGCGCTTTTTCTAGTTTCTTATGCGGGCCTTCGCTTTCGTATATCTCTGTTCATTCCATAGTTCTGAGCCTTGCAATAAAAGAGACTAAATCCCAAAATTATTGCTTTTCACTCTTTTTGCCCTAAATCCATGAGAAATAGGCGGATTAATTATAAAAAATATGCATAAGGATTAGGAAACTTTGTGCTAGAAGATGCTATTTGAACAAAATTTTCCATGGGTTCTGAGTCGAGAAATTCGATTGCGAACTTGAATGAGCGTCGCGGCCCTTCCGTGCCATATAAAACTTTAAAGCAAAAAGCGATCGCAGGTCTTTTGCACTATTCAGCAAGGGTAGACCTAGTCCATTTGAAGGTAGAAAAGCGCTAGGGTTTTCTCACTTTCCAGCGGAGATAAATGAAATAATTCCAAAAATGACCGATTTTTGAACCCGCCGAAATGTCAGAAAAAAGTAAGTACTTTCGAATTTTTCGCGATATTTTCTTTCAAATTCTTTTCATAAAATCCAGGCTTGGCATTACTGCTCTAGAGACCCTTGGCTACACGATGAGCAAAGTCTGCTTCATCCTACTTCATTCAAAGATAAGTTATGCTTTCTCAAAGTAGAGGCTTCTAAAAAAAGTTGTTGGCAATCTTCAGATCAGAAAGTCTTTTCTGTGATAGATACAGTCATGCAATAGTACCTGTATTATAGCCACTGATTTAATGGTTACAGTAGTTTTTATTAGGCCCAGAAATGTTTTTTCAAAAAAGAATTATCTTGGTTGAAAGTTGAAGTATAGAAAACGTGCATTAATTATGAATCAACCTAATATATCATGGTTGCGATGTAAGAGGATGCTGAAAGAGGCTGCTTAGTTGCCCGCCTAGCACGCATGGATTACCCCATTCGCTTGGTGCTCTCCTCTCTAGATTTGCTCGCAAGTGATAAGCTCAAGGCTCTCACACCATGATACGCAGCAATTTGTTCTACTCTAAATGACATATTTTCATCCATGGTAGCGATGTAAGAGGAAACTGAAAGAGGTTGCCCGCCATGCACGTATGCTTTCGCCCATTCGCTTTGGTGCTTTCCTCTTTAGATTCGCTTGTAAGTGATAAGTTCAAGACTTACACACCATGGCTCTGGAAGAGCGAAAGTTTGTCCGTTTTTTTTACAAATGCACACATACCCCGAAAAGGTGCCATATTTGACTCAAAGTGTTCCCTAAAACTCATAGCGACCACTGATGATGCATATGGTTTTATCTCGACATTGTGTTATTTGCTGTTTTTTTTCATAATCACCTTTGGCGCATCAGTGGATGCACACAATAAATAAATAAATACTAGTGTATAATTGACTGCAGGCGCCATCTAAATCTATTCAACCGGCCCGCGGGCGGTCGCGCGCCTGTCATCACCGCGTGGCAGGACCCAGGGCTCGCTTGCTTCAGCTCTGATTCCTTTAGAGCTGTTGCGATGTAAGGATGATTTTGCGCTAGTAAGTGTTTGCTTTGATCTTGAGATGCACGTATGATGCATCGTCTTGTAATGAAAAAGTGTTGCAAGCACCACAAAGGTATACTTACATCCCTCGTATAGGCTGTCCGCGCAGGGAGCGGAGAATGCCCAAGGTGTGCACTGCGCGTCACTTCTCTTTCCCCGTGCACTCTCGCCGCATGTTTTCTCTGCGCCTGTACTATCTTCACTGTGCGCGACAGCGTTACTCTCCGAGCAGCGCGGACGGCCTATATCATTTTCCCATTTGAAATATTGTGACATCAGACGCTTAATCTAAGGTGACTTTGCAAGAGACAAGCCAACAGGGTTCATAGTTTCACGGAAATGTGGATATGTGTGCGATTGCGACCGTTTGTGTTATACAGACTTACAATTTTTCGAAAAAGTTAGTAGGAGTTCTGCTTATGAAAGAACGTCTTTCTTTTCTTCCTACGCGAACTCCGTTAGGGAAGCTAATCTTGGTTGTTAAGATTGACCGTTTCCCATATCTAATATAATGAGCACTTGCTGATTAAATCATTCTAGCGTGGCCCTTCTTTGACTTTTGAAATGAATCGTTACTGTGCTTAGCAAAACCGATGTTTAGGTAACTGAATTTCTTTTCGGTTCAACAGAATCACCTTCAGAATAAAGCAAAACAACATCACTGTCATAGGTGAATTAAAAGGTGAGATAGGCTGGCTTCTTCTAAGCTGAATAGTCGATCATCAAAGACGAGTGTTAT